TACGACAGCTTAACAGATGACGGAAAATGTAATAATAAAATCAGGATGTGTATTGGAATAGCAAAATTTGCCATGACAAAGAAAGTATTACGAAACAGGCACATTTCATAATAGACAAAAAATGAATGTCGAAACTCTGTGTGAAACCGGTCTTCCTTAATACTGGGAATTTTCATCACAGATGAAAAGGAGAATTTGGACAATAGAAATTTGTTTCTATAGAAGGATGCTGAGGATACCATGGACAGAGAATGTAATCAACGAGGAAGTTTTAAAGAAAAAATGAAAGAAAAAAGACACTTATATTTAGAAGCAGAAAGCGACAATTGACATTTCTTGAATATATAATGAGGAAAGATACAAAAAAAATCACACTCACAGGAATATATTGAAGCTAAGAGGGACAGAGTGAAAGAACAAGCAACGTACGTGACAAGCTTCAGTAATGCTATAACAGTAAGTAAAAGAGACAGTAAACATACAAATATAGTAAAAAATGTTAAAAACATCGACCGACTCACTCAACACTACTGAGCTCCACTGGCGACCGCTACTACTACTACTTACTATGTGTGGGAGAGTCTATTACAATAGAATAGGTAATGTTTTGTTATAACACTCTCAGAATCATTGGATCATACAAGCACCTCTGCCACAACAAGGCACGACCATCAGATGTATGCACATAGAAAGATACATGAATAGACACATATATATATATATATTACACTGGATGTAAGAGTAAACGGTTAGTTTTCAAATGTATCACATGATTAGACTTGTTACTTTAGAAACCAAACAATAATTAAGAAATAATAAATATCTAAGATTATCATCAAATATGTAATCAGCATAGACAATTTATTTTTTCTATTATTTATCTTTCAAATATAACAACAATAATAAAAAGTGTTATAATCTAAACTTCATAAATCTTAGTCTTGAAAAAAGAACATGAAAAACTTATGCAGCAGTTTGTACTGCTTCCGTATTGTTACGCCATATTTATCAAACAGCAGCCATTTGTAATTCGTTAGCAGTGTCGGATGAATCGTTGAAGGATGATCTTTACTGCCAAGATTAAATTTGGGGAAAAGTTATTAACATTCCATGATACTTCTGAATAGAGATGAAATTATGCCATTTTTTCATAAACAGTAATAAAATAGCTGACAGTTAGTAATAACTTTTACAAATTTAATTATCAGTGACAAGTAATGAACAAAAACACTTCCATCTTCTCGTCATTTTTATGTAATTGTTCCCCTAATGCAAGGCCCAAGAACCACCCAAGATAGAGTGTTACTGAATGAAGGTGCTGTAAGTAGGTCTAAGGAGAGAGTAAGTATTTAAGGAGAATAGTTAAAATTATGTAGGATACTTAATGTTGATCCTAGTCTTGAAGATATTAACATAATCGTGATCGGGGAAGCATTATTTCGGTAAATTGTTCCACAAAGTAATAGTTCTGATGAAAAAAACTGCCTGATCGAAACTTCGTCCTTACAACTAAAATACAAACGGAACGGGTACGAGCCAACTCTGGGTACCTGGCATGGCTGGTGAGGACTGGTGGAACCAAAGAATATAATTCGACAGAACATCTGCCATTAAAATAAAAACAGAGTAGTGTGAAGCAAAACCGTTTCACTAGTAATCAACGCAACAAAACATTTTCAACATTCGCTTTGGTAATCAGTCAGTCAGTTATGTGCCACACGCTTAGGCTATCATGTATCTTTCGATACATGACTGACGAGGCAGATTTTTTTCCCGCAGTAGGTTGAACATTTCTTTCAAGGCTATAGAACCCGGTCTGTTCTGCTATTTATCCATAGCTGGAGGAGAAGAAGCAAGTGTATTAGCACGTAAGTGAATGTAATGGATTTGATTGGAATTCGAACTCGGGTCTCCAATTCCGCTATCCATTACTCCACCCTGCCCATCCTGCGAATTAGTACAACCGGTTTTCTCAAGACAAAGACTTATATTTGTTTTACTATTTTTTTTTTATCCATGTATGCCATTTGTACAACATAACTTGAAGAAGAGTGACATAGAGTTAAATTATTGTAGAACATGGATAAACATTGTTAAACACTGTGTCTTTTTTGGCTTTTCTTAAATTGCACTTTTCTTTTTGTAAAACATTGGGAAAGTTACGTCCTCGTGTTTATTATATATACATCGTGGATAAATTGCCGACTAAATAACTCACAAATGGAAATAACACACACACACACATATATATATATATATATACCCAAATTAAAGAGTAAACTTATTCAGTAAAATTGGTACTGGTCTCAGATGAGGTCTCCAGATGTCTTCGGAATCTCCTGCAACTCTTCTGAACGCTCTCCTTGTTTAGGTTGGTGAATGATTCCATAATAATTGCCTTCAGTTCATCTTTGGTGTTACAACTGAATTTTGTTAGTCTCTCACTCAATTACGCCCCCCACATAATAACCAATGGGGGAGGGGGTAAGTCTGGGGACTCAGGTGGCCAGATGTAAGTGCTGATGTAGTCGCAGAAATTGTCTGATAGCCAAAACTGGATTGTCCTCCTTATGCGGCATGGTGCAGAGACTATTGTCAGACATAGAGTCTTCCAACAGGAACCCTCTTGACCCAGGGCAGCACTACCCCACCCCCAAAGTTCTTCGGTGTTGAATCTAAAACCCTGTGGGAAGATGAATTGAGGTATAACATCGCCATCACTAGTGATCACTCCAAATAGTTCCGTAATCACCATTAGACTCATCAGACTATTTCTGAATCCTCTGCACTCTCCAGAGATTGACACCCCAACACTCTGAAATGTTTGAAGTGGATCTTCCGGCGCGAATGCCAAAAAGTACAGCATTCTGTTTTCATATTCTGGCGGAGTGACTTTGGTCATGATGCTCTTCTCACAGACGGTGCCCAACTGACCCCAATATGCTGTGCATTCGTCAAAATAAAAAACGCGCATGCGCGTAATTAAACATATAAAATTGCAATAATTTACCCATCGTACCCTGTATATGCGGCATTCGTCGGTCTTATGATACCATTGATTTGCGCCCACAGAGTTATGCTTCAGCTGCTGTTGGTGGTGCAGCATCTGTTATTGCTGTACAAGGCCACACGGAAGTGACAGTCTTGCAACAAATGCATATGAAGGCTCCCTCCTCGATGTCGCCGTGTTATTTTCTTTCCGTCGAGCACGCTTTTCACTGGCGGCAAGCAACTGATTCTCCTCCCCTCGCTCTCGGCCTCGGTGTAAATCGCGACTCCAGCGTAAGCAATCTTTGGCGAAGTCTTCAAACTACTCGGCATTCTTGGCATCGCCCTTATATTCCTCTTGCAGACGTCCTTGAAGCATAGATGGGGCCGCCATCTTGCCCTCTTGCCGGGGACCAGTTCACCGTACAGACGGACTTTCGAAACCCTTCCATCGAAACCAGCACTGTTGGGTTAGGACATACAGACAGGTTAACTGGTCACGAGTAAGAACTTACGGCATTGGTGATCCGGCCGGATCAACTGATGCCCAGAAGGCGTCTCAGACAGTTAAGATGAAAGCGTCGTTCCTGTGTCGAGTAGATGCTACAAGACTTGTTGCCGTAATCCCTTCAATGTGGCACATCTGGGCAGGGTTAATGTCAAAGTTGCCCATGCGGTACCTCTCTTCTTTTCATGCCAGCGATATTTTCCAAGGGGAAGTTTGAGGCCAGTTTTCGCGGGAGTGACCAGAACAATGTTGAACATGGAGTCTGGTTTCGGATTTGTCCTCATAGTTTACTCTCAAAGCCATTCTAATGATTGGGTATGACCGCAACTCAAGTAGAGATTCCAAAACAGAGATATCCATATTCTAGAGTGGCCCTAATTCCCGTTGAAACACCGGTTCTCGTACGGTCAATGGATTTGAGCAACATTGAGCTAGGTTAGAACCTAGATGGGTGACTGCTTCGGAATAGCGGATGTTGTAAGCCTAATGGGCTGGTGGGGTAATGAACAATGGCTCCGAATTGTTAATCGGAGAGCAGACTTCTAATTACAGTTAGGTTCTTTAAGCAAGAATAGCCTTTGGAAAGGTATGAATCCATCTCTTCTAAATCTTTTACCCCCATATCTGGCGATATAAGACATATATCACTAAATCAATGTTATCTCCCTCGCCCAATTCTTACAATGTAAAAAGATGTTCTGGCTTTAAATAAAAATGGTAACGGTTGATAAGACGTAGAAAACGACACAGTTGATCTCATTCAATGCTAAAGAGCATCGTCTACCATATGATTTAAACTAATTAACTTAGCAGTGGAATGGATACGCACAATTGAGAGTGGCATTTGTCAGTATATGCAGCCACCCCGACAAAAAGATTGAATCCGATCGCTGGTTTCACTTTACACGCCAATAACAACCGCTACGCTATAAGCATATCCTCAAGGTTTATTACCTTATATTACTTGTAGACAGAATGGTAATAATTTGAACATGTAAGCTTTTCTCTTTCTCCCTCTGCCTGTCTGTCTCTGTGTGTGTGTGTATGTGTTTTTTTGTGTGTGAATTGTTTCCAAGCTGACGCCGTAATATCCGGACAATCCTGGTAACAGGATATATAATATTTCGCAGTGAATTTTCCATACAGTCCTTGTTTCGTGTCACTTCAGGACTTTTGCGATCATGGCTTTCCATAATTTCCTGTCCTGTGTAGATCTCAATATATTTTGTATTTTTCGTCTCTCATCTAAAGCTTATTCCGTCATCTGTATACTAAGTGTCGTTAGGAATTTTATGCGTCGTTTTTATTTGCATCTCTTACCTGCAATCTGTCCTGTGTGCATCACATTTTCCAAGCCCACTTTCCTCATTATGTGCCTTAGAAATTTCAGCTGTCTCTTCCCGATGTTAAGAAAAGTGTCAATTTTGTTTCTCGTTGCTCGCATGTTCGGTCCATGGCAACCTTAGTATCTTTTTGTAGAACCACATTTCTGTTGTGTCTGGGCTGACGACCATATCACGTTGAAAAACGGTTCCTGTACGATCATCGAAGTTAAGAAATGTCGGTCCTGGTCAGTACTTAGATGGGTGACGGCATGGGAATACCAGAAGCTTAAAGCATCGACGTGCGGATGGTGTAATATAATAACGGCTCGGAATTTGAAATCGGAGAGCCGAGTTCCAATTCCGGCTAGGTTCCTTATTTTCATTTACATGCAAATATTCCTGTGGGAGAGAGGAATCCGCCTGTGGGTTAATTACCCTGACTTGTACCAGTAAATCATTACGAGATCCAACAACGCTACAGAATCACAAACGAGCAATCATGTCATTCAATAAAAATCAAAGGATTCGAGGATTTTTCAAGGACACATGGCACAGTGGATAAAGGCGTTGGTTAGATCCAGTGACAGGACCCAAAGAGTGTGAGTTCAGTACTCGGTTAAGGCAGTGGAGAACTTGGAGAGGGGAATTCACAGGAGATAACTGATAACTGACATCCATTAAACATGGCACGTAGAACTAGAACAGTCTACCCCAGTGAGCGAAATAAAGGGTTCAGTTCGACATTCCAACCACTTGAAGAAGGCTGGAGCATACAACGGCCGAAACTTTGTAATAAATATGGCGACAAAGATGAGGCAGTAGTCCGAATAATGTAAATAGTGTATCATTATTTCCATTATTTATTTGCGGATCATTGCCACAAAGTTTAGGCCGTAATGCCTTCCGTCCTTCATTGGGTGTTTTCCGATCTCTTTAGTTTATCTACGGGAATAAACCGAATTTGGAATATTCTAGTTGTAATCTAGTCTGGTTCTTATTTAATACTGCTCACTTATTGCTCTACCTTTTTTCATTGAGTTCAGTTACACACTGCCTGGTCCAAGGATTGAACCCACCATGACGATATCACCAAATTCACAAACCAACGGTTTACACAATTAAGCTGTCTGATGATGATTGCTTCTGCTTTGACTGCTTGTAATGCTTCACTGCGCTCACTTCGAAATTCCCTGCAGGATACCAAATTCAACATAAACCGAATGAAGGATATAGGGGACAATGGCCAAAACGTTGTGATAACAAAAGCAAATATTATGACAGTTCGAAGGTAAACAATGTAAATAGTGATTGGCCCTCATCCCAGCAACTCAGATAGTTATTTGTCATCGGCGTCTTTGAGCTTTTTACGATTGGGCCTGACATTGTATACTTGGATTCAGTGGGAACGCATCGAGCAATGTCTGAGGAGACCCGAAATAAAGAAATAGACGATATATCTCTAGATGGATATTCAGAATTCACAATTGTCCAAGAAGATAGCATTTGTGTTGATTTCCATTTGATATACACCGCCCAATGGACCAATCTTGACTTGATTTATATGAAGAATTAAGCAAAAACAAATCCAAAAACATATGGCCAGAGGCACGATGCCCGACACAACAATGCTGTATCAACAGAACTTGGCGGCATTTTATTACGAAAAACTCAGACGAAAACATTGATGTACATATTCCGGTAAAATATCCAAAATTCACAGACCTTTCAAATCTTAAGACGCACTAAGAAAATTATATATGCAAATTTCTAGTGTCTCATTCCACCACGCGGGAATGAACAAAACAAGAGAAGAGTTCCATAAAAGTTATACTAAATGTTTGATTAATTGTCCGGATTAACTAACTGGAAATTTCACGACGAGCACGTTTCCTAACATGTTACACGCTTTTAAGTTGCATTCCATTCAAGCTGGCTTTCCATTGTCGCCTTGATTACCAGTAAATCCGTTTTTCACAAGACAAGCGACAATTGTAGAAATACTTTTGTTTTTTCTATGTTTATATTTGTATGCATTTTGAAACATGACTTTTCTTTAAGTCATGTTTCAAAATACATACAGACATAGAATCAAAATATTGCTAAACTTTTATTTTCCTTTTTTTAAATCGCGCTCTTCTCCAAGCGTTGTAATAATAATAATAATAATAATAATAATAATAATAATAATAATAATAATATACGATATTGATCGTAAAGCTCGGCGGATTCCTAGAATTAGAAAAATAAATAATACAGTCAAGATAAAACGCGAAACAATACTACCTACTAACTCAATACTGACGAAGACTGTAATATCTGCATTTAATCTAAAATCTGTTACAACTACTTCAAAATCATCTTACGTCTTGCCATAATTTCGACTTAAAAATGCAGTTTTCACAAAAAGAGTAGCTCATTTTTAAAGCAAAAATATACTGAAATATATTCATATATTCATACTTTTCAGCACTTTAAAAAAATAATATAACGTGAAGAGGACAGACATACTGTCAAAATATTGTGAAATATTGTTAAACATTATGTGTTTTCTTTTCTTTTTCTTTTCTAAAGTTGGGCTTTTCTATAAGTACTTGCGACCATATCGAGTTGAAACACCGATTCCCATACTGTCAACGAAGTTAAGCAGCCTAAAATCAGGTCAGTACCTAGATGGGTGACCGCTTGAGAATACCAGATACTGTAAGCTTGGATGTTTGCGTGGTATAATGCATAATGGCTTGGAATTGGTAATCGGAGAGTCGAGTTCAAATTCTAGTTGGGTTCGTTACATTTCCTTCGGTTCAAATAAATTTGGGAAAGGTATGAATCCGCCTCTTCTCCTGACAACAGTTAGGATTAATTAGTAGGACTTGTATCACTAAACCATTATTATCTCCCCACAAAAATCTTACAATCTAAAAGTATTTTCTGACTTTACATAACCTGCAAAAGGGTTGATAAAACGTAATCTACCAACCAAAATTTAATCCACCTCTTTTACCCCCAAATATGGGTTAATTACTAAAACTTTTATCACTAAACCATTATTGCATTCAAAAAAATTCTTACATTCTAAAAGTATTTTCTGACTTTGCATAGCCTGCAAAAAGGTTGATAAACCGTAAATGACTCATCTACCAATCAAAGCATGAATTCACTCCTTCTCGCACCAATTATGGGTTAATTCCTATGACTTATATAACTACTAGCAGTAGAGCCCGGCGTTGCCCGGGGATATAACAGTAAGAGATAGATCAAGTATCCACCATCATAAAGAAAAAAGTGTGCAAGACAATAAGAAACACGACATGCAAAAAAAAAAGTGAAGTTTTGTTGAAATCGGTTGAAAAATGTAGGTAGCCTTTCTGTAATCTTTTAGTTTTACAATTTATGATTTTTACTTATTGAATACAGTAAAAAAAATTGCATATTTTGCTTGTGGTGATTCATAATTAGAATTCTGATTTGAATATATTTTCCACTCGTTGTTTCTAATACAAAAAATATTAACTTTATTTGGGTTTATTAATTATGATCTAACAAATCTTATTCATTTAGTAGCCTTTCTGTAATAATAATCTTTTACAATTTATGAGTTTTACTTATTGAATACAGTAAAAAAAAATTGGACGCCATGTGTATTTAAAGTAGTTTCCCGTTCCGGTTATTATTTTTAGTTAGGACTTGTGTATGTTTGATTTCATTATCTTTCCCTAAAGATAAAGAAATTATCCGATGTTTGTATTCGTACAATCAGTAGAGATCGTGAGATTATTGTTTAAGGTTGACGGACACGCATGTCTTAATTAGTTTTTTTTTTTTTTTTTTTTTTTACGAATTGGTCAAACCCAAACTCAAACAAAAACATTGTTTTCAATCGTTATGAGTCTCCCGATTGAATAGAATTTTATTATAAATAATTGTCTTGTAAATGGAATTTTTAAAACATTGTGAATATTAAAAATAAAGAAAACAGTGTGTAAGAGAATAAGAAACACTACCTGCCAAAAAAAAAGTGAAGTTTTGTTTTATCGGCTGAAAAATATAGGAAACCCGATCCTATATTTAAAGGAACCCACACACACAAACAACCCGATGTGAGTTGTCCCCCTTTCCATTTTCACGATGTCTCTAAATCGTGTTTTCAAATTGATTTTATGCAAAAACAATTATATTCTCCCCATTTTTGGCGTTGTTAGAACCACCACAAGGTAATTTTATGTAGTCCTGTGAAGTTTTGTTGAAATCGGTTGAAAAATGTAGGAAATCCGATCCAATATATAAACGTTACACACACACACACACACACACACACAATCTGCGTTTTATAATAAGTAAGATACCATTTTTGCGTTCAAAAAGATTCTTACAATCTAAAAGCATTTTCTGATTTTATGTATGTGTTAATTACTACTGTAAGTCTGTGTTAATTACTAAGACTTTTATCACTAAACCATTATTGCCCCCCTCCCCGCAAATTCTTACATTCTAAAAGTATTTTCTGACTTTACATAACCTGCAAATGTGTTGATAAACCGTAATCGACTCATCTACCAAGAAACAACTAATCTTCTGTAAGTGTATCAAAATATTACTAGTGTCGCCTCGATCGTTTTATTATTATTATTATTATTATTATTGTAGGGTTGCAGCTCTGACCAGGCACCAGGTTCGTCCCCAAGGTGCAAAACATTGCTAGCCTTTCGCCATTTTATTGTTATTTCCATAGCAAATAATATGACGCGCTACATTCATGAGTACCGGCAAGTCAAACCTTTAAAGCAAAGAACTTTTTTGTCATGTATACAAGGTGGAACCATTCGCATTCCCATCGTATTCATAAGAATGAATTCAATTCTCCTCAAGACCTGCTTTGCGGAACAGACTCCCGCGAAGAGGCTCCCCGAGAACTACAATCTTAACCAGTTCAAGTCCAGGATCAAATATTATCTATCGTATTATTGCTCAAAATCTACAATTCTTATTCCGTAAAACAATCGCAATCCTGTAACGCTCTTATTTTGGATGTTATTTTGTCTTGTATTGAGTCCAAAATAGCGTAAACCGAATCTTGAACCTCCATGTCTACTGTCCAATGCTCTGTAGCTAGGTAAGAATCTGAGAAAATAATGAACTCTCTCGCATATTGGCATTGGAGATAAGCAGAATACCTCGTCGGCTGCAGGTGCGTTGAGGATAGAGTAATCAGAACGACCCCACTGCCTTGATAATTTATTTATAGATGATCAGAAACCAATTGAGTGGAAAGAATCTAGCATCACTTATCGTTCAGAATGGGAGAATGACTCATATTCCCGAAATTAGTAGATGCCGTCTGTGCATTTCTGTTTGTTAAACATTCATTTCCGACCAACGATCACTGCAGCCGAGTTCAGAATGAAACAGTAAGGACGATATTCTCGTTGCTGGTGGTTTTTATTAAAATATTTCCGCTGAGGTGCCCTTCATAAATGTCAGAAGTTCTCGTTTTCATATTTCCGCCTCGGTGTCCTTTCTTAATGCCCGAAATACTTGTTTCCGTATTTCCGCTGAGGTGACCTTTTTAAATGTCCGAAATACTTGTGGTTATAGTTCCGCTGAAGTTTCCTTCATAAACGTCCGAAGTTCTAGTCGGCATATTTCCGCCTCGGTGTCCTTTCTAAATGTCCGAAATTGTTGTGGGAACATTTCTGCTGAGCTGTCATTTCTAAATGTCCGAAAATGTTGTAATATTTCCGCTGAGATTTCTAAATGTCCGGAATTCTTGTCGGAATATTTCCGCTGAGGTGACCTTTCTAAATATCCGAAATTCTTCTTTATTATATGTCCGCCTCGGTGTCATTCATAAATGTGAGAAATTTCTGGAATATTTCCGCCTCGGTGTCCTTTCTAAATGTCCGAAATTCTTGTGGTAACATTTTCGCCTCGATGTCCTTTCTAAATGTCCGAAATTCTTGTGGTAACATTGCCGCCTCGGTATCCTTTCTAAATGTCCGAAATTCTTGTGGCAACATTGCCGCCTCGGTGTCCTTTCTAAATGTCCGAAATTCTTGTGGTAACATTGCCGCCTCGGTGTCCTTTCTAAATGTCCGAAATTCTTGTGGTAACATTTTCACCTTGGTGTCCTTTCTAAATGTCTGAAATTTTTCTGGTAACATTTTCGCCTCGATGTCCTTTCTAAATGTCCGAAATTCTTGTGGTAACATTTTCGCCTTGGTGTCCTTTCTAAATGTTCGAAATTCTTGTGGTAATATTTCCGCCTTGGTGTCCTTTCTAAATGTCCGAAATTCTTGTGGTAACATTTTCGCCTTGGTGTCCTTTCTAAATGTTCGAAATTCTTGTGTTAATATTTCCGCCACGGTGTCCTTTCTAAATATCCGAAATTCTTGTGGTAACATTTCCGTTGAAATTCTAAATGTCCGAAATTTATTTCGGAATATTTCCTCTGGTCTGTCCTTTGTAAGTGTCTGTGATACAACTCATCATCAATTTCAATTTTAAAAAATGATGTCGGACAAGTAGTCGTATCATTGATGCTTTTATCACGAATGCTGAGCAGATGCGATCTTCGGCCGTCATAGGGAGAATTGGTACGGACCATACTTCGATATGCGAGTCCTGCAGTTTGATCTTCTTTAATCCGACAAGAATTTAGTTCATGTTTGAGATTTCAATTCAATTTTGGTTTTGATGGCGTTTCTGTCATAGAGTTCCGCATATTTAATCCCTTCCGTTCGATTTACTTTTAAATGTGGAAAATACTAAATCGACTAAATTCACTGCTTGTCATTCGCTGAGTCCGTGTTACTGAAAATATATGGTTGGTGTATAGTGAATGTGACAGTGATTTTACGGATTTTTGATAAATAATCTGACTTCCGTTATACACACTGAGAATGTGACATTAAATAATACAATTGACTTGTATCAGTAAGAATCTAAAAGCAAATGTCATTCTCTCTCTCTCTCTCTCTCTCTCTCTCACGCGCACACAAGCAAACACACACACACATATACACATACACACGCACATACACAAACACACACACACACACACACACACATACACCATGCCAAAAAATTGCATCACTTAGCGTCCTCTATAATTTTCCTTTCCGTTCCTGGACGTCGTGAGATTTCGAATATTTTACAGATTTATGTGATTTATTTTTCTCAATGTAGCTTTTTCTGCGTATATAAATACTGGTTTTCTAAATAAAATGTCAATGTTTTCCTTGATAAATCTCTTAAAGGAACGAAACACGTTGGTATAAAAGATTTTACTCCCGTCATTTCTCTTATTTATATTGTCAGTGTGGATACATTTATCGATATCTAAATATTTACATCTCACTCTCTCTCGCTCTCTCGCTCTCTCTGTCTTTCCCTTTATACATACATAAATACACATATATATATATATATACACATACCTATATATATATATATATATATATATATACACACACAGACACGAGCTCTCTCTCTCTTACACACACACACGCATATATGTATATACACACATACACGTGTGTGTGTATGTGTGTGTGTGTGTGTTTGTGTGTGTAAAAGCGACTTGATATTGGTTCCAGCAGGCAAAGGAACGCCAGTATTTGATAAACACGCAATTCTAATAACACGCCAAGGTAAGAACACGCATTTCTTGAGAACGATCGTAGTGGCAGTCAGAAGTACTCGGGAGGAA